CAGAATCTATGACAAAGTTGCACCTTTGGCCATCCAGCTTTCCTGTCACATAGACACTGTGTGTGCTTAGTATTTTACACCTAGCTGTTGGGACTTTCATGATGGGGTTCAGTGAGCGTCCCTCAACACCAACCACTACTGGTTTCCTTGAGGTTGACGTGTTGGTAATATTCCTCCTACACTGGCTCCTCAAATGTCCGTGTTTTCCACAGTTCCAACAACCTTTCTGAATACCAGTCTTTCCTGCTGTATCATCTCCACTGTTTTGAAGTTGCCAGCAATGAGCTCTCTTGTGCCCAAGTTTGTTAAAGTGCCAGCAAAGTCCCTCAAACTTCTCTGAAAGCTGACCTTTTCTGGCCTTGAATCCAGATGACTGTACCAACCTTGGTACCTCTGTGCTGGACTTAACGTAGGATTCAAATTCGAGAGCTCTGGCCATTGCATCCTGCATGGCAGAGGGTTGTGCTTGCTTCACTTGTATCTTAAGTTGTGGACTGTCCAAGGCATCTACGAACTGATCCCTCAGCAACAACTTGAGGAGATCGGGTGGTGCAGTTGGGTAGGCCTTGTGTGCCATGCTTTCCATGTCCTGAGTCAGCTCTTTCAGGCTCTCCCCTTTAGTAAGGACTCTCGTTCTGAACCTAGCCCTGTAGACTTCTAACTGATTATGGGTTCCGTACCTGAGTTCTACAGCCACTACCAGTGCTCTATAATTGTGCCTGTCATCTGCTGACAACTGTCCAAGTATTTCCAGTTGTTGTACCTTCAAGCTCATGCCAGATATACTACTTTCTGCTCTTCTGTCCATCCGTTCATCTCTGCCAGTAGATCAATTTGTGCTCTATATGCTTCCCACGGTGCCTTCCCATCGAATTCCTGTGGCTTCCTTCGCACTGGATCACTCCTATTACTGATATTCATATCTGGGATGTGACTTCTAACAGGGCTGAAGATGTCTGCATTAGGGTTTATCTGCAGGGTCTGGAAGGGGCTTGCCGTTGTCTGGGGCTGATTAATTCGATGGTTAATGTGTCCTCCTTGTGTAAAAGACAATAAATCATCCTTTAATTTATCTAATTAGCTTTTCAATTTACTAATATTTTCCATTTGTACTTCTTGCCACTGTTGTTGGCTTTCCTGTAGTTGCTGCTGACTTTCTTCCTGTTTCCTTTCTTGGTCCAGTTGCCACTGCTGTAATTTTTCTTCTTGTTTCTTTTCTTTTTCCTCCAACAACTGCTGTAATCCAAAAAAAAGAAGAAGAAGAAGATGGAAACGAGAGGCGGAAAATCAAACTACAGCTTAGCAGACTTGATGGCAGCAATACAAGAGCAGCAAAAGATACAAGAAGAAAGAGAAAATAAACAAGAAAGGAAACAAGAAGAACGAGAAATTAAACAAGAAGAGAGATTACAGCAGTTGTTAGAGGAAAAGAAAAGAAACAAGAAGAGAAATTACAGCAGTTGTTGGAGGAAAAGAAAAGAAACAAGAAGAACGAGAAAAGAAACAAGAAGAACGAGAAGAGAAATTACAGCAGTTGTTGGAGGAAAAAGAAAAGAAACAAGAAGAAAGACAACAGCAGTTACAAGAAAACCTACAACAATGGCAGCTCGAATAGCAAAATAACAAGAGAGTCCCACTCTCTGACACCAATTTGTTACGTCTCCGTTCGTTAGTTAATTTTCCGTAAATTCGTTCCGACGAAACTTTAGCGACACAAGTTTTTTCTTAAATAAAACTGGTTTATTCTTTCCGAATACAACTTTACGATACACTTAATTTCAACAGTCGCTCTGTGACAAACGCTATAATTCTCAATGAACTTCTCACGTGCTTAACAATATTCTCTCTTACTGCAGTTCAATTACTCATTACCTCTGTTTCGTCACGTTGTGACCATCTTATATATACCAGACTACCCCAATCTAGTAGTCTCCCGATAATTCACGAAGGTTCGGGAAGTACGTGGCGTGATACGTCACGTGACCTCGCTGACGCAACAATATGTATAAAAGGGAGATTGTATTCAGTATTTACAAATTATTTTGCTACCAAACTGAAAACCCTAAACTTAAAGCGAATAAAAATATTGTTTTAGAGACAAAGAACCCGGAATAATGTCAATATTACATTATATTCTTAAGGAATATTTGTGTCCCCCAGTGGCATGTCTGCGGACTTATAACGCTATAAACCGGGTTTTGATACCCGTGGTGAGAAGAGCACAGACTGCCCGTTATGTGAGCTTTGTGCTTAACTTCAAAACAAACAAACAACATTTTTTGTAGTGTACAATTTCTTTAGTCTCATAATGGAAAAAAATAAAAATAACGTCCACCACCACAATATTTTTGTAAAGTTCTGTCAGGATTTTTTTTTCTTAAGTAAACTAAAACGTATGAACAGATGAGGTGTAAGGTAACTTTTGTTGGTATACATAGAAATTTATTGGTGTTATATTTTTTCTTATATAAATGTTTTTGGTTGGAGTTACTTACTGACACTTATATTTTTATTCTTTTGACTCTTGTTTTATGTTTAAAATATTTATTATTAATGGACATGTTTTTGATCAGACAAGGAAACGGAAAACTTAAGGGTTTGTGAATGTAAGAAGTATGAAAATCAACTATTTTTGCATTAGGCCTATAGAGTATAGGCTATAGTGCTATGCCATTAATTAAAGTTCAATGTCTAGAAAGAACATAGTCAATGAAAATTGAAACTGAGTAAGAGTATTAAACTGAAAAGCAAACATTAATTACTTAATTACAGCTTAATTAGAACAAGGAACTAAGTTAATTTTGTGAGATGGATGAACATATAACGTATGTTTTACTAAGTTTTACCAATAAATAGTTTTTAATAAGTATAGGGGTGTGCTTGCTTTACTTGTATCTTCAGTTGTGGACTGTCCAAGCATCTACAAACTGATCCCTCAGCAACAGCAGGTTGATTGACTTATAGCATGAGTTGCTGTTAGCAGTATTGGAGATCATCACTTTGCAAGACTTTGAGAGGGGGAGTCAGTCATTTCACAAAAATTGAAAGGTGGGTTAAGTTTTTGCTTTCCTTAAGGATGAATGTGCAAACTCTGCTTTGAAGGACAAGTGCTTTTTTATTGTCTGTATATTATGTTCCAAAAGTACTTATATCTTTAGTAAAAATGTGCACGAGGTCCTTTTGTATACATACTTTATTTTTGTGAAAGTTAATTGATGAGTACATAACTATAAAATCAAACTGTAAAATTTAATGTAAATATTTAATTTGAACATTATATCAAATATTGCAGGTTTGTGTGTTTATAAGATTTTAATATATGTACCTTTACAAATATTTTGTTGATATCATAGAATGTTTCTTAGATTTATAAATATTGCAGCTTTAATTAAAAAGCTTTTTTTTAGAAAATATGAAATAGTCAAATTATCTTGAAAATTTTGTTTTTATAACTAATTATACTTGCAGTGTATCATACTTATTGCAATTTTATCTTTGGTGAAAAGAAATCTGTAATATAATTATATACAGTTGGTCACCTATAATATGAAATGATAAATTAGATGCAGCACCATAATGTTAATCACATACCTAAATTAATTTAGGTTATTATATGGTGAGTTAAAAAGGACTTAAACTCCCCATAAGTATTTTAAACATATGACCATTATAAGAGGCTTTACTATATTTCTGTGGTTTGCTGCCCCAAGCTCTGCTGATGAACCTTGAACAGGTAGAACTGTAGTCCACAGCAGAGGGTGTAGTGAGTCAAATAATGCATTGGGCTTCTACATCACAGATTATATTTTTAGTTTTACCTTTGGTGAAAAGGAAAGAAATCTGTAACATATTACAAATAGTATATATAGAAAATACATAAAATGGACCTTTTTTCTTTATATAAATATTAGATTTTTGCTATTTTGACTATCCAAAAGCAATATCTGATGTTAAGATGATAATTTTGGGTAAGTACCCAAGATCCAGTAGACCGGAACAGGTTTGGTGAGTATGTTTTGTTTAATAAAATAGTGAAGTACTTCAAGAGACTATGGGAATGTGTGACTTTTAATTTTTGTTGCAGAAAACATTCCTGTAAGATATTTAACATTACCATTTGTATTTTACTTAAAAGTTTTACAGATGTCAAATGCAACTAGCATCTGTGGAAGATAAGCAAGACTAGTAAAGAGTCCTTACTGAAGCAGCACTAAGCCTGACATTAAGTTTGTCAACCTACACTCTGTTGCAATGCTACAATACCCATAGATTATTATTTATGGTCGCAAGAACAGAAATCTCATTTTCCTACATTGTTTCTCACACAAATATACCTTAATCTAGCTCAGTCTTAACTTTGAGGCTCTGCTACTCAACACAGTGGCATAACTACAAAAGATGCCCCCTCTCCACATAAAAAGGAGCATATTTATACCACTGAATCAACACCAAAACCCTTAAAGGGATTCAAGTAGAATATTTTTACTGTTCCTAATTGGAAAATAATAATATAGATAGTTAAGAAATGTGTTAAATGGCAATAAAGTTTAAATAGTGGTGGTTGTACAGTTATGTGGGCTATAATATATTGTAATTAATAATTTCATCAAATGTTGCTGCATGTGAAGGTGTATTTTAACCTTATTGTATAGAAACAAATTCATGCACATGTACGTACACATTCTACTACTGCTACGTTCATCAGTTTTGATGCATATGCAAATGTATGTATGTCACAAGTAAGGTCTGCATTTCAAAGCATATTAGACATTTACAAGCTATTGTTGAGCTGAGTCCTGAATTAATTTAGATAATTTATAATTTGTTTTAAAAATTATACAATATTATATAAGTAATGGTAAAATGTAAAACAACTGAATGAGTATATTTTACAACTTCTTTTATGGATCTGTTTATAGTGAAATTCCATTATCAAAAAGGTTTTGAATTCAACTTGCAATGTGTCTTTTTATTCTTTTACTTATTTTTAGGCGAATAAGCATGGTATTTGAAATATACTCTAAACAGACAGTGTTGCATAGTAATGAAAAACCACTCTTTTAAGTTCAATAACAGGCCATTCTGATACAGTACCTCCCTCCTCTCACAAGATTAGCTTTTCTTGTTTTATGCTGCCCTCTATATGTAAACACTTTTTTATAATGCATGCCACAAGCCTTCCACACCCTGCTGTGGGAATCAAAGATTACAACATGTCTCATGCAAATCATCATGTGTCATCTACCCACCAATAGGAGAGCACTACTATCACATGACGCGTGCGACTCCTTTTATGCAGCACTACTGAACCATCACTTCTCGTTTGGTAGTGCTTGAGTTCAGAAGTCTTTTTCTTTTTGCTCATTACTTTTTCAAGTGGTTTAATTTATTTCATTTTAAGAATTTTTTTTTCTTACTTTAATTTTGAAAGCATTTGATTTACCCATGTTTTGGCAAACATTTTTGCTTGTTTGTTTGGTATCAAGCATGAATTATGAAGTTAATGTTACCTCTTCAGGCACATCTCATTCATCTGATGCCATAATTCAGGCCATAGGTGCGGGTGATCCATCCAGGAATTTATTAGCCTTTATTCGCAGACTGTTGCCCCTCTTCCTCCTGAGCCTTTTGAGCCTTGCCAAACTGATGAGGATTTTGATCATTTGACCCCCACCCCAGAATTCACTGTGCCTTCCCAAACCCTACCTGAGGATTCTTTTCGGCCCTCATTGGCTTTCTCAGATTTTATTTCTCAGGTATGTGATGTTTTGTCTATTGCTCCTATTTCTTATGACCCATGTCCTTCCCTATTACATGGTTTTGCCTCTCAACCTTTTTTTAGTTTTTCCCTTGTCCCCTGATATACGAACTTACACTGAGTATTTTGCCTCCCAGTCAGATGATGGTGTTAGTATGCCTCGTCCCCTGCATATCTGGACCAACAATTTTTGGGTTCAGTTTTGCAGGACCCGAATCTCCTGTTCATCTTACCCATGCTCAGTATTCCTGCCTTTGTCTTACCATGATGACTTTTGCAGTAGCTCTCTTTGATCCATCTCTTGTCTGAGGCTCTTCACAGGAACCCTGAGGGGTTTTCAGGGGATGTCCTCTCCCTCCTCATTTCCATGTTGGCCTGCCTGTCGTTTTTGGCTCTGGCCTTGCAAACATGGTTTACTTTTGTTGGGACCTTATAGGTCATAATTGCCATATTGCCACAGACCCATCTCCTAGCTCCTTATCTACAGGACCTTCATATAGGCCGTGTTTTAGAGACGTTTTGTGTGTGACAC